TGTTGATTTCAATAGTTTATTAATCATTTACTAACTCATTCTGAATGATCCTAAAAACCCTTAACTATACTTAAATACAACTGGTTTGTAAATAATGCGATACTAAATTTAGTAATGAACAATTAATCATTTACTTAGTATGAAAATACAATTATTAAGCACATTTTAAATGTGGTTATAAGTCAAGAAAAGAGCATTTGTAGCTGCAGTTATAAACTGCTTACTAACGTTTATTAATGTAGAGTTAATGCTTAATAGATAATGAATTCACTATTTGCTAATGCTTAATAAATGATTTAGTGTGTAGTTAATATAAAGTGTTACCGACACTTCTATACAGCTTAAAGTGACTTTTTAAGGCTTAACTTGTCATAACTGTGTTTGTCCACCAGATGCCACTGTAGTTCGCCAGCAACCCCAGCGGACTACAGTGGCTTTAGAACTACATTTCCATACATTCTTTCGCACACACACCTGGTCTCTCATCTACACTGATTTACAACCACAGCTGTCTCCGTTCTCTGTGATTACCTGGACTATATATTCAGTCATTCATCCTCTGTTTGTCAGTTGGTCGTTGTCATTGTTGGTATGTTGTTTCTGATCTTGATCTTGCTATTGTATCTTGTCTTAGTGTTAAAGTTTAGTCCAAGTTTAATCTGTTTGAGTTGTTTGTTTGTTTGTTTATTTTGTTAATTTGTTACTTTGATTTTTGGATTTTGTCACTGTTGCTGCACTTTCACATTAAAGATCTGCACTTGGATTCTACACCCGTTTTTGTTCCTGTTTCAATCCTGAAACGTGACATAACTAGGTTAATTGGTTAACTAGGCAGGTTAGGGTAATTAGGCAAGTCATTCTTTAACGATGGTTTGTTCTGCAGACTATCAAAAATAAATATAGCTTAAATGGGCTAATACTTTTGACCTTAGAATGGGTTTTAAAAAATTAAAAACTGCTTTTATTCTAGCTGAAATAAAACAAATAAGACTTTCTCCAGAAGAAAAAACATTATCAGACATACTATGAAAATTTCCTCTGTTAAACATCATTTGGGAAATATTTAAAATAGAAAATTGAAAGGAGGGCTAATAATTCTGACTTATGTGCAGACTGAACAAGCAATTGAATCATTTGTGTGCAAGTTTTCAGCACTCAACCTGTCTGAATTTGTTTAACAGTCAGGAAATTGATTAAATGGAGAGTTTAAGAAGTATAAAATAGCTTGGAATGATGTAGTCCAATTGTAGCAAACGATAAAATAAGACATTTTGCTGTTGTTATTATTATTAATAAATGTGACTATTCAGTTTTGAGGGATTTCTATGTGTTTTCTTCACTATTCCAAATCAAAAGAGCTCATTTCAGTCTCAGATCAAACATATGTTTTAGTAATAAGACTTTTTAAAAACAGTTTTGCAGTCCACAAGGCAAAAATCATGTCTAATCACATACTGTAGAAAAATAATAACACTTCTCCTCTATGTTTTATGCATCATTCATGGCTGTAACACAAATGAGCTACGCTGCAAAATATGATACAGTAAGAGGATTGCTTGAGTCATTAACCATAATCATGGCAGTAATGATCTTATATGAGCCTTATATGCAAATATGAGCTTAAGCAACCACCACTAATAAATGGATCTTTTCTGAACACTCTAAAATGATTCTCTGTCGTGCTTTTCAGTGCTTTTTTGTTTGCGTGACAAAGCTTAATGCGGCAGTTCCACTGTCACGGCAGTGATTTCTATGGTAAATCTGTGCATACATCAGAGGAAAAGCAGTTCCACTAATTAACGTCCTGGTGAGAGGAAGATGATTTGGAATGAAGCGTCTGCCAGAAAGTTTTATTTATCATTTAATTCAGAAATAACAGCCTAATATAAAGCACTTGATTTATATTCTGCTGATTCTGGCTTTGGCTTAATTTAACTGTCTATTTACTGCGCAGTGTGGGTGAGACCCGAACCCATTCACACTCTTTAGGGGGCTTCGCGGTGGCGTTAATGTTCTTTCGAGATGCGTGATTATTTCCATATTGGCATAATGCCCTGTAATGAATCAAAACAACATTCTGTGCAAACTCCAAGGGTTTTTCTTCATCATAATTCAGGTATCGACTCCTGAATACAGAGTTTCAAAAGAAATCAAAACGACCCAAAATGGAAATGATATTCATTTAGTCTACCATCATGTCATTTCAGTGACTTTCATTCTTCTGCCAAACACAAAGGCGAAGATTTGAATGATGTGATTGTCGTGGTTGTCCAAGAATTACAATGAATGTGCTTTATAAAGGAGACAAATGCACCATGAGGGCTTCGTTTCAAGCAGTTTCGAGAGTGATGGTTTGCTGCAACCAGTTCCTTAAAAAGACAATTAAATAAAAATGACTTATTTAGGAATCAAACGTTTTGAATTGCATACATCATTTCTATAGTAAAAAAATAGTGTGAATGTACACTCATTCTTTTTTTAGATTTATTTTTGGCATTTTTGCCTTTATTAGAGGACAGTATTGAGACAGGAAGCGAAGCGGGAGAGAGAGAGAGGGGGTAGGATAAGGAAATGTCCTCGAGCCAGGATTCGAACTCACGACGCCCTGATGTGCTGTTGCACCATATGTCGGTGTGGTAACCACTACGCTATTGCACCGACGTACACTCATTCTTAACCTCCTAGGGCTTAGTGGCCACATTTGTGGACAGCACATTTTAGCTCTTAACTGGCTATTTAAAATACTTTGAATGTTTTATATTTTGTTACAGACATACAGTGTCATCCTGCAACTGTTTTACAGCATATGAAATGTCCAAAACACTATTTCAACTGTCCAAAATGGGCAAAAAAATTTAGTTTTTACTCTCTGATAGTCAAAGCAAGTTTTTTTTTTAAATGTGTATGTTATATATGCATTAAAAAACTGTCAGGAAAAAGTGTTAATTGTAAATTCAGACCTTGAGTCCACATACACTGAAAAATATTAATCAAAGATGATACTTTGGATTTACTCAATTTTTTTTTTACGTTAAGTGGTTGTAAACAGTTTATTTGGGCTGAATTTAAACAAACAAATTAAGTTGAACATTATTAAACTTAATTTGTTTGTTTAAGTTCAACACAAATAAATTGTTTGCAACAGTTCTGCATGCAACACTTTTTTCAGTGTATATAGACATAATTTTTCTCTAAAAGTGCATCATGTCAAAAGATGATTCTTGGGTTTTATTCTAATTAGGTTCCAATAAGCCCAAATAGCAAAGAGAAATAAAAAATGCATGCAAAAAAAAAAAACACCTTGAGCCTTAAACATAACTTGTACTTCCAGTCAAAAGTTTGGAATAATTTTTCTTGATGTTTTTGAAATAAGTGTTAGGGTTGCAGGGTTTACTGGTACTATGGTAGTATGATGACAATATGGCTCTAAAATACTAGCGGTGCCACTGTAGTTTGTAAACGGTGGTATCACCATTACGGTCTATTTATTAAATACATAATGTTGCATGTGGGAAAAGTCACTGAAATGCTCACACGCTTGTGCAACAATAGACCATTTTTTTAATAGTCTGTGGAGCACTTTTTTAATTGTAGAATTCACACCTTTTATGGTAGCCTTTTGCACGTTTTCTAACGCTTTAGTTCGAATGCACATCCTTTAGTTTATTTCTGTTCCTGTCAATATGATTTTGTAGTTCTGCTGTAAAAAGAATTTACGGTTTATTTTTGGCAGCTGGGGTGCCGAAAAAAAAAACCTTAAAATAGCGGCTGTTAAATTACAGAAATTTACTGTAAAATAACAAACATTAATTTATAGAAATTTTATTAAATTTAAATTTCTGGTAAATTTCTGTAATTTTATATCCGTTATTTTACAGTAAATTTCTGTAATTTAACGGGCGTTATTTTAAAGAAAATTTTTGTCATTTTATTTACGTTATTTTACAGTGAATATCAGTAATTTAACGGCCGTTATTTTACAGTAAATTTCTGTAATTTTATATTTGTTATTTTACAGTAAATTTCTGTAATTTAACTGCCGTTATTTTACATTCTTTTTCCAGCACCCCAGCTGCCAAAAATAAACCGTAAAATTATGGATGTTTTTTTACAGTGTACAACAACCGTAACAATCTCTTAAAAAGAACGACTCACAAAGTAAAATTTTGAATTACTTTGGATTCTCACTCTACAAGACAAAAAAAAAAAACAATAGATAAAAAAACAAAACAAAAGAGCAACAGAAAACATTGAAACTAATTTTTCACACATTTTTGACCACTATATTCAGCCTTAATTTTATCTTTTTGTTACAGATTTCATTTGCTGTAATTTGTACCTTGATTTTAATGTATTTTTGTTGGTCAGTCAAAATAAACAAAAAGAACTGTATTTTAGGGGAATTGATGTGCAAATAAATGTTTAAATAAAAAGGGAATTATGATTTCAATTCAAATAGGCCTATTATAACATATAAACTATAGTATTTCTGACAATTTTCTTTATTTCATAGATTTGAGTTATGAATTACAGTATCGCAATACTTCTTGATATCCCGCTACTTCAGCTGGTTTAGTATCGTAATGTGAATTAATGGTCTAGCGACAACCCCAGTAAGTATGTTGACAAGACTCTAGTCAGGTATATATACATATATGCAGGTATATATATATATATATATATATATATATATATATATATATATATATATATATATATATATGCACTATATATATATATGGGTGTATATATATATATATATATATATATATATATATATATATATATATATATATATATATATATATATATATATATGCACTATTTTTACTGTATTAAAAGCTGTAAAGCCTTGGTGAACATACTAATCCTGCCTATTCCAAACCTTTGAATGTTAATGTACATTTAAAAGATTTTTAATGTTGTTTAAATTTTATTTTAATTGTCACATAGATTAATTTTATGAATAAAAATGTCCTTTGGCAGATTTGCATCTCTACTTTTTTTTTTTTAGTTCCGCTTCCTGTGAAAGAACAGCATGACGGTAAAAAAAACAACAACAGACGTTTCATTCTGTGGATGAATTACTTCAGATTTTTTGGGATGCTTTGGGTAGGTTTTAGTACTCGTAGTCACTTCCAGCTCTTTGTTTGGCTGGGAATGTACGGGAAGTGTGTCTGTGTGCTTTTATCAGAAACGGTCTGCGTGCTGCAGCTACGGAGGGCTCTCTTCTGCGAGTCCGGGCTGGAGTATTTTTTACGGTCACATCTGGGCGTCAGAAACCTCGGCGGAGAAGCTGTAAACACCGAATCAGTGGACGACAGCCTTGAAGAGCTCCTTCCACCTCTGCCTTCGTCATAATCATCATCGTCGCAGCACAGCGCGTGATATAGAGTCTTGTCGTAGTAATGCAGGCGTCCTCCAGATCCGAAGAGCCAGGTTGCTTTGGGGCTGTTTGGGGCCTTCAGGGGTCCGTTGAGGGCGGGTAGATCTCCACAGCTTCTGCGGTATAGCTCTAACTCTTGTTTCTTGGCCGTGTTTGGGTAGCGGAGGGTATCTAGCAGAGGATTGTGCAGTAAATGGTTGCCGGATGAAGTCTTGGTTTGCAGGAGGTCACTGCGGTCCTCGCTGCAGCACACTAGTGTCAGGTCGTCATCTGAGTCCAGGTCGATGTCAGATGTTAACTTGTCAATTTGAGCCACAACCTGAATGGAGACAAAGAAAACTGGAGTAAATGTCTGGATGAAGCACTTGTAGCTTGTACAGTTTCGATTCTGGAAACTCTGGGATTTGTGGATCTCATGTTGGATTTGGACACTATAAAGTAATCTGATGTTTGGCAAATAGCATATAAATTCATCTGTGGATGTCATATATTTCAAAATATTACAGATATATATTACAAAAATTCTACTTATATCTGAGAAAGGTCTTGTTTTAGGAACAACAAAATAATAACTTGACTTCTAGTTGATCATTTGCTATTAAAAGAGGCTTATATGAAAGGCAAATGCCTCTAGATTACGCTTATTTGACCATAATATGATCATGCCTTGATTTTTAATGATTTAATTAGGACAGTAAGATCTGACCTTGCTAAGACAAAAGTCTTGTCACTTAACAGAAATGATGTCCAGTATAAAATATAAAGTCATGCTGCAGTGGAAACAGAATGAATATTGTGTCTGACTCCATCATGAGCTTGGAGGACTGCATCCATACATCTCTACAATGACTCAAATCACTGATTAATAAAGTCATCTGGAATGGCAAAGAAAGCGTTCCTGCAGGACTCCCAGAGTTCATCAAGAGTCTTTGGATTCATCTTAAATGCCTCCTCCTTTATCTTACCCCAGACATGCTCAATAATATTCATGCCTGGTGACTGGGCTGGCCAATCCTGTAGCACATTGACCTTCTTTGCTTTCAGGAGCTTTGATGTGGAGGCTGAAGTATGAGAAGGAGCGCTATCCTGCTGAAGAATTCGACCTCTCATGTGGTTTGTAATGTAATGGGCAGCACAAATGTCTTGATTCCTCAGGCTGTTGTTGTTGTTGACATCGACTCTGCAGATCACTCGCACTCCCACATACTGAATTTAACTCCAAACCATGATTTTTTCTTTACTAAACTTGACTGATTTCTGTAAGAATCTTGGCTCCAAGTGGGTTCCAATATGTCTTCTGCTGTATTTGTGATGAATGGGATCTGCCACTTTTACAAATAATAAACAAGAAATCAAGTTATTATTTGTTGCTCTTACAACTGGGATCTATGACAAGACTTTTATCAGATAGTGTATATTATTTTTCAACTATTAAAATTACAAATATGTTATAGATTTCTGTATAAAACAAATGATTTTTCTACCAAGCAGAGCTTCTAGTTCAGGGGTGGCCAACCCTGTTCCTGGAGAGCCACCTTCCTGCAGATTTCAGTTGCTACCCATATCAAACACACCTGAACCAATTAATTAGGACCTGAACACCACGTGATAATTACAGGCAGGTGTGTTTGATATGGGTACCAACTGAAAGCTGCAGGGAGGTGGCTCTCCAGGATCAGGGTTGGCCACCCCTGTTCTAGTTAAAGGATTTGTTCAACCTAATATTAACATTTTGTCAATAAATGCTCGCCCTTAAATTGTTCCAATCCCATGAAACCTATGTTCATCTTTAGACAAATAATAATAATACATTTTATTTAAAGGCGCCTTCCTGGCAACTCAAGGACACCGTACAATCAACAAGAGAAATCAAAACATATACACAGCAATAGTGCAGATAAAAATTAATTAAGTATTAAAAGCCATCTTAAATAAGTGGGAGTCTTTTGAGTCTTGATATTAAGATATTTGAGATGAAATATGAGACCTCACTCATCCTCAATATACAGAAATGATCTTGAGTTGTTCAAAGAATGTCCAGAAAAAGGAACCAAAATTGCTTGCTCAAAAATGTAGTGCAAGAGGAGTAAAAGTATCTGTTGTAAATATTACTCAAAGTATGAGTAAAAAGTAGCCCTTTTAAAAGTACTCAAGAGTAGTGAGTATAACACTGGGAAAGGTTGATCCGTTTACATTTAATTTGCGCGTGCGTGTGTGTAAACGTAATATTCTGTAGTGCATTTGGTCATTGTTTAAGGCCATTTTGGTCATCATACAGTAAAAGTCCATCATCTTCCCATCAGTTACATTAAGTCTGAACAGTCTCTGGGTCATTGCATGTAAGTATCTTCTTGGACATTTTTAATCGGAGATGGCCAAACTAGGGCCCACGGGCCAAAGTTGGCCCATTGTATCCTTTGATTTGGCCCCCAGAGGGAAAATGATTGGGTTGGGGAATGCCTTTAACAGAAATGCATTTCTCATTTCTATTTTAATGTAACCTTTTGTTTGTATGTTTGTTTGTTTGTTTGTAAGCAAACTGAAATGAAATGTTTTAATTAAAAGTCGTTCATAAATCAGATCTTTAAAAAATTTACATTCTGTCACTTAAAGAATAAAAATCAAGGCAAAAGCAGGTTCAGCATGACTAGTGTATTCGGCATTGAACTCCATTATTGCTTCCAAAAAATAGAATGCATTAGTAAATACAATTGAAGTATTTTTTTCTATTTATTTATAAATATTATGAAATAAATTAGGAAATTACCCATGGCAACTTTCATGTAATACAGTTTGCTGTATTTGCTTTCAACCCACAGCTCTCAATCAAGCTTGAATTTTGGCATGTCTTGAGGTAGTTCAGTATGGTGCAATATGATTTGACAGGAATCACAGGACTGATTTTTCTAATCTCCATCGACAAGAAAATATGGTAACACTTTACAATAAGGTTCATTAGGTAATGCATTTAGTAACATGAATTAATCATGAACAACACATGTACAGCATTTATTAATCATAATTGAACATTTACTAATGCATTATTAACATCCAAGTCCATGCTTGTTAACATTAGTTAATGCACCATGAGTTAACATGAACTAACAATGAACTACTGTATTTTCATTAACTAACATGAATAAATACTGTAGTAGATGTATTGTTCATTGTTTGTTCATGTTAGTAAATGCATTAATTAACATTAACTAATGAACCTTATTGTAAAGTGTGACCGAAAATATAAAGTAGTGACTGCAGGTGGAGTAAAAGTACCGATACTGCACTAAAAATGTACTCAAAGGAGAGTTGTAATGTAATGTAATGTAATGTGTATTTATTTAGCGCATTTATTGTGTATGGCCATACACCCAAAGCGCTTCACAATCATGAGGGGGGGTCTCTCCACACCACCACCAGTGTGCAGCATCCACTTGGATGATGCGACGGCAGCCACAGGACAACGGCGCCAGTGCGCTCACCACACACCAGCTATTGATTGGAGAGACAGTGATAGAGCCAATTCGGTGGAAGGGGATGATTGGGAGGCCATGATCGTAAGGGCCGATAGATAGAGGGACTTTGGCCAGGACACCGGGGTTACACCCCTGCTCTTTCACGAGAAGTGCCATGGGATTTTTAATGACCACAGAGAGTCAGGACCTCGGTTTAACGTCTCATCCGAAAGACGGCGCCCACTGACAGTATAGTGTCCCCTTCACTTTTACTGGGGCATTAGGACTCACACAGACCACAGGTTGAGCGCCCCCTGCTGGCCTCACTAACACCACTTCCAACAGCAACCTAGTGTTCCCTAGTGGTCTCCCATCCAGGTACTGATCAGGCTCAGCCCTGCTTAGCTTCAGTGAGTAACCGGTCTTGGGCTGCAGAGTGATATGGCTGTTAAACAGTACACATTTTTAAAACTACTCAGTAAATTACAATTCCTGAAAAAACCACTCAATTACAGTAATCTGAGTATTTGTAATTAGTTACTTTACACCACTCCATTTACTATGGGCACTACAGTGTTATTCGTGCCATAAAGTCAAAAGCACAATATACTATCTTGCTCATAACAAACATGTACTCTAATCCAGAATGGAAGACATATACAAACAAAGTCATTTTTACAGTTTCTTTGACACAAATAAAAAGCGTTCTTGGCGTTTCTTGTGATTACAGTTGAACCACTGACATCAGATGGAAAGTTTTGACAATATTTTTTGTTCCTGTTCTGAACATCTAGGTACCATTGCGGTCCACGAAGGAGCTCTCAGATTTCATCTAAAATATCTTAATTTGTTTTCTGAATATGAACAAAGGTCTCAGCGGATTGGAATGACATGAGGGCGAGTAATAAATAACAGAATTTTCTTTTTTTTTTGTTGAAACAACCCTATAATGGGAATTCAGTGAAGTGGCACATCTTGTTACATCTTGTTCATGTGCTCATATTTCCAATCATCTGTCAGTCACGACCTTGAAAAATCTCAATCTGTGCATGACTAGTTTACTTTTACAGATGTTGCTCAGATGTCTCTTACCAGGCCCGTGCAGAGACCGTCCAAAGGGCATGTGCAGGATAAATTTTTGGAAGAGTTTAAGGGAAGTGGGGGGGTGGAGCGTACTGAAGAGCGGTGTTATCGTGCGCTTACTGATCAGCTGTATGGCGAGTGGATCGTGCCACTTCTCAGCCCCACATGGAGAAGGAGAAGGAGCAGTCGACCCTTACGTCGCCGCCTCAACGTGTCGAATTTTGAATAGGAGTGAATGGGAGGGCAGACGTCGAGGTAGCGGCGACGACACATAAAAAACATTTTAGGCGGCGACGTAGCGGCGACGCACGTAAGAAAATTGCAAAAGAAATTGACGTGTTATACAGCTGTGTTGTCGCTCGCGTACTCAAGAGCGGTGTTGTCGCGCGCCTACTGAAGGGCGGGACCGAAGGTGTGCCGCGTCGCGGGGGCACTTTTCATAATTTTGGAAGGGCACTTCCTATCAAAGACTAAAAAGGGCATGTGCACTGCACAGGTTGAGCCCTATGTGTGCACGTGCCTGTCTCTTACAATAGTTTTACATCCACAATATGTTCAGGTGAGATTACAGCAATGATCTTTGGTGAATGCAGTAAGTGACTGTATGATCATCAATAACGTTACCTGATTAGCACAAAAGTTCAGAACATACAAAAACATAAACTAAATCATACCTATGAAATGTTTTGCCTTTGTGCTTTGTTTTCTTTGTTTGCTCGTTACTACACCCGTAGACAGCGCTAAAGTCCCGCATCTTCTCGTAATAACCCTGTCTTGACTAGTG